ATCTAAATATTAATATATCATAGATTTATCCTATGATAATATATTAAAATAATTTACTCGAATTTTCGTTTTTTTTTATTAATTCATTTAATGATAACCAACGTTGTTCTAATGTTTGAATTCTACGTGATAATGAATCGATTGTTCGTGAAGAAATATCAGTATCATTTAATAAATTATGACCAAGTGCAAGAAGACTACTCATCACTGTACTATGCTTTTCAATATCCATTTCAATTGCCTGAAAGTCAAAAAAAAAGTTTTATATATTTCTCTTTTCAAAATAATCTCATACAGCAATTGATTGTTGATGAATATGAAATTCATTTGTATTTTGTGTTGGTAATGTTCGTTGTAAATTTGTTTCAATTGTATCCATCCATAAACGAATATTTTCACAACCTTGTTCAAATTCATTGAACATTTTACAAGTAATTTCTGTTTTTTTAATTCTATTTTATATTAAAACAAAACAAAACAAAAGCAATTCGAAATATAAAGAAAATAAATGAAAATTAAAACCTTTTCTCTACATGTTGTTCTATTGTATCCATAATATGTTCTAATTGTTCAATTTTTTGTTTAATTATTTCTATTTGTATTTGATCAGTTAATTGTGATTGTAAAAGACGTGCTTGAATTAATAATTCATTAGCATATTTTCGTTTATCTGTAATTATATTTCTAATATCATTTTTTTAAATTTCAAGACTTGTTTGAATTGTTAAACCATTTAATCGTTGATTTATTTCATTATTAAGAAAATTTTCAAACCATTGAATAAATCGAAGAAATTTATTTTCAAAATCTTAATATTCGGAACGTCGTTTTGTAAGACTATCAATTAATACTGTTAAACTACGTTCAGCATCAGTCCATTGAATTTCAAGTAAACTAAATTATAACATAAAAAAAAAAGGTCTTAGTACAATTCCTACAAGATTAAGGACTTGGATCTGATCAGAAAATTTTGCACCCGAAGGATTCTATTCATCTGAGAAAGGTGCAGAGTGCGCTCATCACCAAATACAAAAAAATCGGAAAAAAATTATCTTGTATCTTCGGAACAACTATCCACTTCTGATGAGAATATTTCATTGATCGGAAATACTTTCCAAAAAGTTAAAAATGAACACATATCTTGTCTAAAAAACTTTCCGATCAATGAAAAAAAAATTTATTTTATTTAAACTTTACTTTAATTTTTGTATTAATTGACGTGTATCATCAGGATGTAGTTCAGAAGATATCTTAACAAAATTTCGTTCTAAAAATGATTTATTTTTTAAAGTTAAGTTACTTCTGTTATAGCTTGTCGTATACGTTGTAATTCAGTTCGATGTTGTGTAAGTTCACGATTTTTATTCTAAATTAAATTTATTTTTTTTTATTTTATTACGAAAAATTCAATTTACTTGACATTGTACAAGAAATTGATCAATATCATCAGTTGGTTATTGTTGAAGTGAACGAATTGATTTTATAATAGTACTTAATTCATCTAATGTTCGATCAAGTTCATTATATCGAAGGAGTAACTAAATATTAAAAACAAATAAATAAATTTGTTTTTCTTCATAAGATAGAAATTTAATTATCCTGATCCTAAGAAGAATAAGAATAAGCAAATGAGCAAGAAGAAAAAAAAAAAAGAATCATGCATTTTCATGCGAGGAGTAAAATCAATAAACATGCATTAATATTTGATGTGTATCTAAATATATATACATATATGTATTGAATATAAACTAAAATAAATGAGTAATAAATAATTTTGTATTGTCATTGCATTTGTCTATTCATGCGAAATTTATTTACTACATTTTACCATCTCCTTCCGAGAAGTTTTTCGGTTCTATAATAAGATAATTATTGGTTTAGACTATATCAATAATAATAATAATAATAAACAATGTAAAAAAAAAAAAATGTCGAAGTCAATTTCATGAGATTGATACATATGAAGAAAAAAAAAGTTTTCATTATAGGAACTCATTGCCAAGAAATTTCGTTGAGGTGAATTCTAGACCGCTCAGTATAAGGTACTTACATAGAGAAGTTTTACTGTAATGATTTGGACTTAGCTATATAAGAACTGAGGCGTAGGGTTGAGAGTATTGACGAGAAAACATATCCGAATATCGAACGTTGTTCGACTTCGTATTATGATTGCGAGTAGGTCTCGATAGGACAAAGAAAATTTTAAGAGGAATTCAAGTCTATGACCTATTGATGAAGAGTTATGGTCGTTTCAATGAAATTTTGTTTACGAGAAGTGCATTTTCCCCCGTTGGCTAAATCATTAAGCCCTTTTCCTGACATTGTTATCATTTGAATTTGCTTTTCTTTGAAAGATTTAGTTATCTAACGGTATTTTTCAGTCTAAATCGACATTAAGCCAAGGAATCTTATACATAAAATAAATCACATATCACCATTATAAGATATTGTCAATTAATGGGAGTAATGGCTAATGCTGTTTTTGAATCAGTAGCTTCAGTGTAATCATTGAAATCGCACCATAACAACTGCCAATGAAATCTTTATTACTTTTATTCGCAAGGGGGTAGCCACTGCAAAACTGCTGTGCTACTCTATTCGATCTTGTCTCAGAGCACATTTGACGTTGACTTTTGAGTTCAAATTTTACATAAATAAAATTTTTAATGCTGCCAATTCATTGTAAAAATGTCAGATTTTCTAGCACCTCCTATTCTTAGATATTGGTATTCAAATATTCTGATATGCATACAAGCAAACTTGATTCTGATGTTTATCTTAGGATAGGAGAAATTTTAATACATTTACAAGGCCCGCCTAGCTGAGAGACTACATTGTTTGATTTGTATTCAGAAGGTATTGAGTTCGCAAGTCGATGACATCAGCCATGGAATGACTCTGAACAAGTCCATAACGGCTCTTTGTTTCGGATCATGCATTCAATAGCATGTTGACTACGTTGTGACATACATCTGCTCATGTGGCTACTATGTCGTTAGTTTTAGTGTGTATGAGGAGCTCAAACAATTGAACACAAGAACTCCATGTCAGTCTAGGCTTCTAGTATTAGTTATAGGAAATATATCGAACTATTGAATCTGCCACAAGACAGCACTCCATATAGCAAGATAGTCGAAAAACAATGATGTTTTTTCTTTCTATTTTTACAATTAATTATTATCGATTTCAAAATAGAAGAGCACTGGGTATTTTTTGAATAACTTCTCATAGAAATAAGATAGAGATCTGCGGTTTTCACCGTTGAACAAAGGAGATGAAGACACATCGAATTATATATTGTAGATTTTACTGCCAAGTATTTTACCGATTTCTATTGAATTTTTTCAAAAAAAAATGTTTACTTTTAGGCTCGATTGATACAGTAAATTTTTATGAGAATGTAGCAAAAAACTGAAATTTTCGCCTAATTTTCTCGAAAAATTCTATATATTTCAATATTTCTTTTAGATCATGTTTTACAAAAGACATATAGTTATGAATTCTTTTAGACTTTTACTAGTCTTTACAAAATTCTTTTGTCAACTATAATATTCAAGTTCATCTTATACTAAAAGAATATTTTTATTTTTTCTAAATTTATTTTGCTATAAACTTCGACATTGTTTTACACTTGTATGTTAAAAATTCAAATTGAAACTTTTCTAATCAAAATTCTTACTGTAGCAAGTGTTTCACGTTTTTGTTTAAGATTAAAATTAATATCATGAATTGATTTTTGTAAATCATTTAATTCTTTTTCTAAAATAATTTGTGTTTTTGTATCTGCATGTTTAATTAAACGTCGATTTGTTTCATAAATTTTTTCTAATAAATTTTTTAATTCTTCGTTTTGATTAATTGTTATATATGAACCTTGTTTTATTTGATTGATTATATTAATTGTTGCTATTTGTAATTCTTTTTGTTCTATTTCATTTTTACTTTTTAATAAACGATAATAATCTAATAAATAGAAAAAAAAAAAAAAAAAAGAAAACGAAAAGAAATTTCTACTAAAATTTAATTAATACTTTCTAAATAATTTTGATATGATAACCAAAGTTTAATTAATATATTATCATAGGATAAATCTATGATATATTAATATTTAGAT